TTGCGCACTGGATTTACGTGGCATTTATGTAAACAAGAGTTTTTTGCTGTCGATTTTGGTGAGTCCAGTTACTGTTTGTTATTTACTCAGCCATGTAACACAAATTAAAATGCAGTGTTTAATGTTACTGTATGAGTTCCAATATAAAATAAAGTTGTACACCTCTCTTTGTGTGTCTTTAGTATGACGTAACGACTAGTCGACTACTATTTTGAAAAACGTGTCGACTAGTAAATATTGGTAGTCGTGAAACCCCTGACACACACACACACACTCACTCACAGACACACACACACACACAGGCACACACACACACACACACACACACACACACACACACACACACACACACACACACACACACACACACACACACACACACACACACACACACACACACACTCTCACACACACACACACACTCTCACAGACACACACACACTCTCACATACAGACACACTCTCACAGACACATACACTCTCTCACACACACTCACTCACTCACAAACACACACTCACTTCCTGTCTGTGTCCACAGGAGATATTGTGAGATTCTTCAACATCGCCCTCTCAGCGCCGCTAACTTCGGGAAGATCATTCGAGACATTTTCCCCAACATCAAGGCTCGCAGGCTTGGAGGCAGAGGGCAGTCCAAATATCCTTTCAGCCGCAAGGCTTCATGGGAGATGTAGTTTGTATTCTCAGTACCTTAGCTTCTTTCTCTGATAACTTCAGATCCAGACGTGCAGGAAGGTTTAACTCAAGGTCAAACAACTGATAAATATCCTTCTCTCTAACACAAGCAGACAGGCAGATTTACATTTTGAGAAAAAAGTAAACATTTTGAGAATTTGAGAAAAAAGTAAGAATTTTTAGATTTTTTGGTAAAAGTGAGAATTCCGTGATTTTGAGGAAAAAGTTAGATTTTTGAGGAAAAAGTTAGATTTTTGAGGAAAAAATTAGAATTTGGAAAAAAATGTGAATTTGGATATTTTTTTGAAAAAAGTAAGGATTTTGAGAAAAAAAATTGAATTTAGGAGAAAAAAATGTGGATTTTTAGAAAAAGGAAGGATTTTGTGGAAAAAGTGAGGATTTTGAGAAAAAAGTTAAAATTGAGATTTTGTGAAAAATGTAAGAATTTTGAGATTCTTTGAAAGAACTGAAAAAGTGAGAATTTAGAGGACAAAAAAAAAGAAGAGATTTTGAGGAAAAGCGACAATTTTGAGGTTTTGCGAAAAAAGTAAGAATTGAGGTTTTGAAAAAAAAGTAAGAGTTTTGAGATTTTGAGGAAAAAGTAAGAATTTTGAGATTTTGAGGAAAAAGTGAGAATTTTTGAAAAAAGTGAGAATTTTGAGGAAAAAGTGAGAATTTTGAAAGAAAAAAGTGAGGATTTTGAAAAAAAAATTAAGGATTTTGAGTGAGGATTTTGAGTGAGGATTTTGAGAAAAAAAGTGAAAATTTTGATTTTGAGAACAATGTAAGAATTTTGAGATTGTTAGAAAGCAGTGAGAATTTTGAAATGTTTAGGAAAAAGTGAGAATTTGGAGATTTTTAGGAAAATGTAAGAATTTGGAGATTTTTTGAAAGAAGTGAGAATTTAGAGGAAAAAAAAAAGAGAGATTTTGAGGAAAAGTGACAATTTTGAGGTTTTGCAAAAAAAAAGTAAGAATTTTGAGATTTTGAGAAAAAAGTAAGGATTTGGAGATTTTGAGGTAAAAGTGAGAATTTTGATGTAAAAGTGACAATTATGTGATTTTGAGGAAAAAGTGAGAATTTGGAGATTTTGAGGAAAAAGTAAGAATTTTGAGATTTTGAGGAAAAGGTGAGAATTTTGAGGAAAAAGGGAAAATTTAGATTGTGAGAACAATGTAAGAATTTTGAGATTTTTAGAAAGTGAGAATTTTGAAATGTTTAGGAAAAAGTCAGAATTTTTGGGAAAAAGTCAGAATATTTGGGAAAAAGTACGAATTTTTTGGAAAAAGTACGAATTTTGAGAAAAAAGTAAGAATTTTGAGATTGTTAGAAAAAATTGAGAATTTCCAAATTTTTAGGAAAATGTGAGAATTTCCAAATTTTTAGGAAAATGTGAGAATTTCCAAATTTTTAGGAAAAACTGAGAATTTTGAGATTTTTAGGAAAAAGTAAGAATTTTTAGATTTTTAGGAAAAAGTCTACATTTTGAAAAAAAAGTCTGACTTTTGGCAGAAACACTTTAAACATCGTCTGCTCTCTAAAGCAAACAGACTGTGTGAATAAATCCAGAGCAAATCAATTGGGTGAACGTTGAGAGGTTTGTTTATCCGGTCGAGCGGGGGCCAAACCTTTGCTGTTCTTGTTTGATGAAGTTACCTGTTGTCTCTTTAACCTGCCGCTCGTACGTACTGCTACAGCGGCATCAGGAGGAAGACTGTGCTCAACATGCCTCTGCTGCCCAACCTGGACCTGAAGAACGACCCGGTACACACACACACACACGCACGCATGCGCGCGCGCACACACACACACATCCTTTGTGCCTGTATCAGGCTGCACAACAAGGGGTCAACATTGTGATGAACCCTCTGTGTTCCTCTCTCATGAAGTTAACCTGATGAACTCTGTGTTTCTGCAGGCGGAGCTGACGGAGTTGGTGCAGACGTATAAACAGGAAGTGACGGAGGCGGCGTGCGAGCTGATCTGTGATTGGGCGCAGAAGATCCTGAAGCGCTCGTTCGACACGACGGTGGAAATCGCCCGATATCTGATCCAGGAGCACATCGTGAACCCTCGCTGCAGCCAGGCTGAGCTGGTGACCTCCGCTGCACTCGCAGGTGTGCGTGTGCGTGTGCGTGTGTGTGTGTGTGTGTGTGTGTGTGTGTGTGTGTGTTTCCCACACGTTTGTTAGCAGACCCTTCACGCGATGGCAGAGCGAACAGGTACAGGCAGGGCCCATAGTGAGAGCCCTATAGTTTAAATCTACTACCCACACATAACCATATGGAGATGGGTTACTATTTTAAAAAATTAATGTATTTATAAATGTATTTAGGAACCTATCCATGTGATTTTAAGTGGGGGTCAACCTCAAATCCTCTAGGGGGGTCCGGGGGCTCCCCCGCTAAGATTTTTTATTTTATTTTGGAGTTAAAAGCATCAATCTGGTGCACTTTGAGGGGAAAATAAAGAGACTAGATCTATGGAAACACCTATATTAAACAGAACTGTACACATTTCAATAATCATAAAATCATGGCCATAACCAATAACACCCCATTTCCAATATGAAAAAAACACTGAAACTTGTTTATTAATTTATTTTCGGTTAATTTATAGTTGTGAGTGTGTCTGTGCTCCTGAACCAGCCTCTCCTGTCTCTCTCCTCTCCCCCCTGCTCCTCTTTGAGGCAGCAGCAAAGACTAGTTTTAGCTCTCAACAAGTTTTTTTTACCTTTTTTCACCTAGTTAACTTTTTATTTATTTATTCATGCATATTTTACTAATCACATTACATTTCATTTAGCTGACGCTTTTATCCAAAGCGACTTATAATGAGCGATTACAGGGACATTCTCCCTGGAGTAACTAAGGGCCTTACTCAAGGGCACACTAGTGGAGGTGTTCCTAGCGGGATTAGAACTCACAGCCTTCCGATCTTCAGCCCACCTCACTATCCATTCACTACCCTCTCAAATGGAAATATGTGTTTACATAAATGGTAGGGATGCACCGAATATTCGGCCGTCGAAAATTATCGGCCGAAAATGGTTAAAAAGGCCTTTTCGGATCACCGAATGTCAGGGAACAGGGTTACGTTGGTAAGCTAACGTGTTGTTGTGATGACGTAATCAAAACGCGGCGACAAGCACGGCGCGCGACCATGCTCGCGGCTGGCTCACAGCCAACATGTCTGGCGCTTGGAGATATTTTAAAAAATATCAGCGACAGAGGCGCGGATTGCGTTT